GCACCTTGTAGCTGGTCTGTAGGGGTCAAAGGCAGGCCTGGCTTTCTGAAGTTGAACTAGAGTGACAAGAGAAGCTTATATAATGGGGCAGACGAGGGTGTATATGTGTGCACTGGACTGCTGGCAAACCACAGCACACCTCTAGGGGACAGGAGTAAACAAAAGTTGGTAGGCTGGTGCCAGCCTGGCCCTGGGGGGAAATAAGTGCTCAGCGCCTGGCTCCAGGGGTAAGAAGTGGGAGTTTCCCACCCTTTAGCAGGACCTGAAGCACAGGGCCAGGAGACCCAGGGAACAGGAACACCAGAAACTGCAGCCACACCAGAGGGCACTAGGGTCCTCCTGATAAGGAGCTGGCCACATTCTTTCCATATGTATGTAGAACCTACCATGTGGCCTGCAGGGAGTCCTAAAGGGAAAGAGAATAGCCTTGCTTCATGTGGGGAAGGAAATACCAGGATTTTCATATCTTCCTGCACAAAACAATTCCCCTGAAGCTGGCTAAAAACCCAGAGCCTAAAGGCTGGGCGCGGTGGCTCACGCCTGTAAATCCTAGCACTTTGGGGGGCCCAGGTGGGCGGATCAAGAGGTCAAGAGACCATCCTTGCCAACATGGTGAAACCTCGTCTCTACTAAAAATACAAAAATAGCCATGTGTGGTGGCGTGGGCGGGGGAGGCTGAGGCAGGAGAATCGCTTGAACCCAGGAGGCAGAAGGTTGCAGTGAGCCGAGATTGTGCCACTGCGCTCCAGCCTGGCAACAGAGTGAGACTCCGTCTCAAAAAACCCCCAGAGCCCAGACCCTAGCCCAGAGATTCTGACTTCCTGTGCCTGAGGTGGGACCCTAGGAATCTGAAATTAATTAATTATTTTTGAAGTGGGGAGGACAGGATCTCGCTCTGTCACCCAGGCTGTAGTGCAGTGACGCCATCATAGCTCACTGCAGCCTCTATCTTCCAGGCTCAAGCAATCCTCTTGCCTTGGCCTCCCAAAGTGCTGGGGTTGTTTTGGTTTTTGTTTTTTGTTTTGAAACAGGGTCTCGCTCTGCCACCAAGGCTGGAGTGCAGTGGCGCGATCTTGGCTTACTGCAACCGCTGCCTCCTGAACTCGAGCAGTCCTCCCGCCTCAGCCTCCTGAGTAGCTGCAGCTACAGGCACATGCCACCAAGCCTGGCTAATTTTTGTATTTTTAATAGAGATGAAAGGGTCTTGCCATGTTGCCCAGGCTGGTCTCAAACTCCTGAGCTCACGTGATCCACCTGCCTCAGCCTCCCAAAGTGCTGGGATTACAGGCGTGAGACGCTGCGCCTGGCCCAGAATCTGCATTTCAAATAAATGTCTGCGGTAGCTGTGAGCCGTCCCATTTAGAGGAACAAGGCAGGAAAGAGAGTCCTCTAGCAAACAAGGGTGTCCCATTGCTGGTGGCGGGTGCAGTGGTGGTAGATAAAGAATCTTGGCTCAGTTAATCCAAGACGCAAGGGAGGAGTCCTGAGTGACTGGCAGCTTTGTCTCCAGTAGCAGCCCAGTCCCTTATCTTGGGATTTGCAAAGATCCACATCTCTGCTTTCTCATGCATTTAAAAAAAACACACACACAATCGTGTGGCCTTGCTTGGGCTGGGAGAGGGCAGAAGACTTCGTTAGGATTGCAAATGTATTCAGTGAAGGCCTCCTAATTGCTGGAATACATATTAGAGAAATTCTGTAAAGAAAAATTTGCTCGTCACCACCCTCACATGACTGTTTGCATTTACCCTCTGTACCCAGCCTACCCTTGTGCAAACAGATTTTTACATGGCTGCAACCACAGAGCAAACGGTTGATTACTGCTTCATTCCCTTACACATCCCTACATTGATTTTTCTCCCTTCCATTCCACCACCTGTTCTCCAAGGGCTGGATATCGCCAGCATCTCACCCCAGGCTCAAGGGGAATGTCACAGACTCAGGGGCCCTATGGAACTCTAATCCCACTCTCTGTGAGACATTTGAAATAGCCTTGTCATGGCTCAGTTTCCTCTAGTCTACAGTGTTAGCAAGAGGAGCTGAAGCAGGCAGGGGCAGGAAGTGCTCCATGCTGGGAATGATCTCACAGTAATAAATCATGCCTTGGAGCAGGGGCCAGTAAACTTTTTCTGTGCAGGGCCAAATAGTAAATATTTTAGCCTTTGCAGGCCATAAGGTCTCTTTTGTAGCTACTCAACTCTAGCCATAGACCATATGTAAATGAGGGGCATAGTTGGCTATGTTCTAACAAAACTTTATTCCCCAAAGCAGGCCATGGGCCAGAATGGAGCCAGGACTGTAGTGTGCCAATCCTTGCTTTAGAGCAAGCTTGTCCAACTGGTGGCCCAACACAAATTTGTGAACTTTCTTAAAATATTATGAGGCGTTTTTTTTTTTTTTTTGCATTTTTTTGTTTTGTTTTTTAGCTCATCAGTTGTCATTAGTGTCAGTGTATTTTGTGTGGCCCAAGACAATTCTTCTTCCAATGTGACCCAGGAAAGCCAAAAGATTGGACACTCTGCTTTAGAGTTTTTCGTTTTAATGCTTTTCAAAGCACTGCCATAAATACCCCTTCAGGCAGTTACCCTGCAGGCAGCCTGGACACTATCCCCTTTAACAGAAGAAAAAACTGAGGCCCAGAGAGTGCTCAGCCCCACGTATTGACAGAGACAGGATGCCAAGTCAGGGCTGCACCTGCATCCCATCACAGAATCCCCAACACTGGTCCCTCCTCTCCCTAACTCCAAGCAGAGCAGGGAGGAGGACTTCTGCCACGCCCAGTGGCACCCCAGGGAACACCCCGGAAACACTGGGGCGCTGTTCTGCTGGACGCATGATGTTTTCCACCACGCCCTGTGCAGGCAAGACCAAGCTGAGTCAGCTGGAGGCCCAGCCCTGCCTTGAGGAACGGGAGGAGCTGTCCTTTGGGCTCCAGCTCTGCCCAGGCTGATGAGGGCAGCAGCTGGCTGGAGGTGACAGGGGACCAGGCCCTCTTCCCTCACCAGAGGTGCTGATGCCCACTAGCAGCCTGCACAGCCTAGGCAAAATGCAGAAGTGGCTGAGAGGCATGGCTGAGGTCTCCCCTTGAGGGAGGAAGGGTGTGTGTGTGTGGTATTTTCCACATAGATGCCCCTCAAGTAAAATTCACCATTGGATCGCCTTCCTCTGCAGAGTTAATTCAGCAAACCCGCTAAGAGTGTGATCTCTGGAGCCTGACTGCCTGGGTTCAAATATTGGTTCTGCCTCATAAGGGAGATTTTGGAGGTCATGGAAATGTTCTAAAACCAGACGGTGGTGATAGTTGCACAACTCTGTGTAAACAGTCTACTAAAAATCATTAAATTGTGGACTTAGAAAAATGCTGCCTCCAGCATTGAAAGCTGTGTGATCTTGGGCATATTATTTAAACTCCCCGTGCCTCAGTCTCCTCATCTGTCAAACCGGAATGATAATAATAGTGCCAGACTCCAGATGAGATTTCAATGAATCTGTAACACAAAGATTTTAGAATGGCATCTTGCACCTAAGAAGGGAATGATAAATGCTCTTTCCATGGTGCCCCCGTTGAGAGGGAAAGAAGTGTCCTGGCTCACAGGCACTTCCCCGCACACCTGTGTCTGGGAGTGCCTACACCATGCCTCCACTTGCCCTGCTCCTCCTGGTCTTTGCTTCTACTATTTGTTTTGCCAGGAATGCCCTTTCCTCTCAGCTCGAATGCTAGTTTCACTCAGAGGTCATCTCTTTTCTCTGCTTTTATGCTTAATAATCGTTTATAGCAAAGGCTCAGAAAGGACTAAATGGCATATGGTTAGTTCTGTTCACTCCGGATCTGAGATCCCTGTGCCAGGAAGAGGCGACACTTTGCCCTTCCTGCTCCTATCCACGGTGCCTTGTGTCCTGGCTGTATCCACGGTGCCTTGTGTCCTGGCTGTGGCAACCTGGGTGCTGAACTGAGTCCAACAGCAGGCACCAAGGCTATGACATCCACTGTGGGTGTCCCAGCACAGTGGCTATAAAGATCAGTGAAGATAATATGGTGAGAATGAAGGCAGGCAAGCTTAAGCAGTGATGGGTGTCCTTCCTTGGGCCTAGAAGCCACCCCCCCCCCAACCTGGGGGTTCCAGAGTCACATGTCATACACAAGAAATGGATTTCTGTCTCTAGCCGCTGGTTTCCCCTAGTTATAGAGAATACAGATTGCAAAATGAGGCAATGATAAGATGACCCACAGCCAGAGCCTGGGGATAAGCCAGGGCGGTGTTTTTAGAGGCCTGCAGAGACACACCAGTCTGATTCCGGGGTCAGCGGCAGCTGGCAGTCAGGGAGAGGGTTCCTTGGCCTCCACTGTCCCATTTCTGGCTCCTCGGTGTTAGCCCAGAGACAGCCCAGGTCCCAGGTTGACCTGGCAGGAGCCTGTGGCCCCAATAAGTGACTTGGTGTCACAAACAGGCTGGTAACCTGGTAGCAGCTGCGCCTGTTGTTTTTTCCTGGGCCTCACCTAGCCAGAGCCAAGTTTGTGAGCACCCAGAGAGCAGCCCCCTCTCTGCCACGTGGGCTGGGGAAACAGGGAGTGCAAAGGGTGAGGGAGGAGAACGCTCCTTAGCCCCCATTCTCCAGGAAAACTTTTGCTTCAGCCAGAATGGGGGTGTTGTAGCGGTGGGGGTCGGGGGAGATACCGCAAACCTTCGGAAGCCGTCCGGCTAACAGTAACACAAGCATCGGATTCGCCAAGTGGGGAATTAAACACCTCCAAGGAGGGCCTGGGGTCAGAGGTAGGGGCGGCAAAGTTCTCCCACCTACCCGTGGTGGGGGGGTCCCCTCTTTTCCCGCACCTTTCTCACCGCACGTCCCTTCCCAGACACCCCGGTGCGACGCCTCCTCTCCTGCCCGGCGGCTGCTCTTGGCCAGTCCGCAGGTTCCAACGTGTCCCTCCCCTCCGCGCCTCCAGGAGACAGCGCCGCCGGCCCTGCCCTAGCGCCCTTCGTCTCCGGAGCACTCACCGAAGCCCCTGGTCCCCTCCTCCGGGGCCTCCTGGGTGAAGATCCAGGGCGGGTTGGTGGCGTAGAGGGAGGTGCTGGGGCTGGTGGTGTGCTTCTTCCCGAAGAGTTTGCTGAAGGTGCCCTGCACGGTCTGGTTCTTTTTCATGCTGCCGCAGCCCGCGCGGGCGCCAGGGAAGGACCTTCCCTCCCTTGCCCTGCCCTGCCCCGGACTGAACTCCGCACGGTCTCCCCACGGGACTCTACCAGGCCATGTCCCCCGCCGTCCTCCCCGCCCGCGCACCGGGCGACAGGTGCTGCGGGCGCCGCCGCTTGCCGGGAACTGCGAGCTACCTGGCCAGGTAAGGGGCAGCCGCTCAACCGGGCCCCGCCCCGCCGCCGCCCAACTCCCCAGGCCGCATTCCTTCCCGCCTCCTTCTACAACAGGCCATTGTTGGCCCGGCCCGGTGGGCTGGGGACCTCGCCCGGCCCACGCCCAGCCTGGGAGACGGGCCACCCCTCCCCCAGGTTCCCTCCCGGCACGCCTCCTTCACCCCACTTCCCCCTAGTCCGGGGAAGGAGGCGGGTGAGTTCCCAGTCTCTCAAGGCGATTCGTGACCAGGTCAGTATGGGTACATGTGGACAGCTCTAGTGTCCAACACGAGGGACATGGATGGCCAAAGCGAGCACGCCACGGCATCCTATAGCCCCTCAAAAATGTGGGGACGTGAGACTTCGGGGAACATCAGGAAGTGCCCATAAGAGAAAAGTAAGCTGGGAAAAGCAAGAAAATGACAAACTAATATACCAATCTGATGACGAGGGTGGAAAAACATCCTCATTGACAGGGATGTGGAATGACGAAATCTTGGCATTCTGTGCTTGTACGTCACATTCTTTTTCTTTTTCTTTTCTTTTTTTTTCCTTTCGACGGAGTCTTACCCCATTGCCCAGGCTGGAGTGCAGTGGCGCGATCTCGGCTCACCGCAACCTCCCGGTCCCGGATTCAAGCGATTCTCCTGCCTCAGCCTCCCGAGTAGCTGGGACTACAGGCATGCACCACCACGCCCGGCTAATTTTTGTATTTTTAGTAGAGACAGGTTTTCACCATATTGGCCAGGCGGGTCTGGAACTCCTGACCTCGTGATCCGCCGGCTTCGGCCTCCCAAAGTGCTGAGATTACAGGCATGAGCCACCGCGCCTGGTCCACATTCTTTTTTTTCTGTGAAGTTAAGTGAATATAATTTTTAAAAACCTGAAGTGGGTAGAGCCCACTTAGGGTTGGGTTCACTCTCCAGGGAGACAAGCAGTGGTACTTTAAGGCACTTGAGGTACCATCCTAACCAAGCCAGGGGGGGCTATCCATGGGGGAAGTTTCCTCTGATGAGGATGGGGAGAGCCTGCCTGAAGATGCTGAAAGCAGAGGTGCAGGCCAAGTGGGTGGAGTTTGATGTTTTCCGGGCAGGAGGGGCCACAGGCTGGTGCAAGTTGCTATTTCTCCTGAGCTTCCTGGGGACTGGGCCCACTGCCACATTTCCCCTCAATTTCCCCCAGATCTTACACGAAAGGCGTTTTTCCTCAACTTTTCATTCTGAAACATTTCAAACCTTCAGAGAACTTAAAAGAATTGTACAATGACCACCTGTATACCCTTCTCCCTGGATTCACCAATTGTTTTCTCTCTCTCTCTCTGTCTCTCTCTGTCTCTCTCTCTCTCTCTCTCTCTCTCTCTCTCTCTCGGATTCTTTTCCTTTTCATTTTGCTGAAGCTTGGAAGTTGTAGATACTGTGGCCCATTTCTTAGCCTCCCCCAGTACTTCAGCATCGATTGTCTAAGAGTAGGAACATTCTCCTACATGGCCACAATACAACTGTCACACTCAGGAAATCTAACATTGCCAGGCACGGTGGCTCACGCCTGTAATCCTAGCATGTTGGGAGGCCAAGGCAGGTGGATCACCTGAGGTCAGGAGTTTGAGCCTGGCCTGACCAACATGGTGAAACTCCATCTCTACCAAAAATATAAAAAATTAGCTACGCATGGTGGCATGTCCCTATAATCCCAGCTACTAGGGAGGCTGAGGCAGGAGAATCGCTTGAACCTGGGAGGCAGAGGTTGCAGTGAGCCAAGATCACGCCATTGCACTCCAGCCTGGGCAACAAGAGTGAAACTCCATCTCAAAAAAAAAAAAAAAAAAAAGAATTTCCCATTTATCCCCTCAATGTCACTTTAGTTCTTTGTTCCTTTTTTTTTTTCCGAGCCGGAGTCTTGCTCTGTCACCCAGCTGGAGTACTGTGATGCAATATTAGCTCACTGCCACCTCCGCCTCCCAGGCTCAAGCGATTCTCCTGCCTCAGCCTCCCAAGTAGCTGGGACTACAGGTACCTGCCACAATGCCCAGCTAATTTTCATATTTTTAGTAGCGATGGGGTTTTGCCATGTTGGCCAGGCTGGTCTCGAACTCCTGACCTCAAGCAATCTACCCACCTTGGCCTCCCAAAATGCTGGAATTATAGGCGTGAGCCACCTTGCCAGCCAAGTGGTTCCATTTGTTTGCAACTTCTACTATATAACTATTATTATTATTATTATTATTATTAGATGGAGTCTTGCTCTGTCACCCAGGCTGGAGTACAGTGGCGCAATCTCGGCTCACTGCAACCTCCACTTCCCAGGTTCAAGTAATTCTTCTGTCTCAGTCTCCCGAGTAGCTGGGATTACAGGTGCCCACCATCACGCCTGGCTAATGTTTGTATTTTTAGTAGAGACAGAGTTTCACCATGTTGGTCATTCTGGTCTTGAACTTCTGACCTCAGGTGATCCACTGGCCTTGGCATCCCAAAGTGCTGGGATTACAGGCATGAGCCACTGCACCCCGTCTATAACTAATATTCTTGAGAGCCACTGTGTGCCCCACGCTGGGCTGTGAAAGAGCCAGAAAAATTAAAGACATTGTTCTTGAGTCCAGGTTGCTGTAGTCTGTGGAGACAGGCAGCCACCTGTGGAGAGCTGGGCAGTGGAGAGGTAACTGAGGAGGAAGGAAACGAGAGGGGGAAGGTGCAGAGCAATTTGGGGGCTGCAGGATCTGGGGAGGGTAGGCAGGAGGCCTCTTCAGGGGCTGAGGATGGGGGAGCTGGGAATTACCTGGGAGGTCATGGCCAAGGTGTGGAAGGCTTAAAAAGGCCATCTGGGTGGTCAGGTGCGGTGGCTCACGCTTGTAATCCCAGCACTTTGGGAGGCCAAGGTGGGCAGATCACGAGGTCAGGAGTTCGAGACCAGCCTGGCCAACATAGTAAAACCCTGGCTCTACTGAAAATACGGAGCTGGGAATTACCTGGGAGGTCATGGCCAAGGTGTGGAAGGCTTAAAAAGGCCATCTGGGTGGTCAGGTGCGGTGGCTCACGCTTGTAATCCCAGCACTTTGGGAGGCCAAGGTGGGCAGATCACGAGGTCAGGAGTTCGAGACCAGCCTGGCCAACATAGTGAAACCCCATCTCTACTAAAAATACAAAAAAATTAGCCATGTGTGGTGGTGGACACCTGTAATCCCAGCTACTTGGGAGGCTGAGGCAGGAGAATTGCCTGAACCTGGGAGGCGGAGGTTGCAGTGACCCGAGATCGCGCCACTACACTCCAGCCTGGACGACAGTGCGAGACTTTGTCTCAAAAAAAAAAAAAAAAAAGAGTCATGCGCAGTGGTTTATGCCTGTAATCCCAGCACTTTGGGAGTCTGAGGCAGGCAGATTACCTAAGGTCAGGAGTTCGAGACAAGCCTGGCCAACATGGTGAAACCCTGTCTCTACTAAGAACACAAAAATTAGCCGGGCGTGGTGGCAGGCACCTGTAATCCCAGCTACTCAGGATGCTGAGGCAGGAGAATCGCTTGAAAGCAGGAGGTGGAGGTTGCAGTGAGCTGAGATGGCGCCATTGCACTCTAGGCTGGGGGACAAGAGCAAGACTTTGTCTCAGGAAAAAAAAAGGAAAAAGAAAAAGCCAGCTGAGGCTGGGCACGGTGGCTCACACCTATAATCCCAGCACTTTGGGAGGTTGAGGCGGATGGATCATGAGGCCAAGAGATCAAGACTATCCTGGCCAACATGGTGAAATCCTGTCTCTACTAAAATTACAAAAAGCTGGGCATGGTGGTATGTGCCCGTAGTCCCAGCTACTTGGGAGGCTGAGGCAGGAGGATTGCTTGAACCTGGGAAGTGGAGGTTGCAGTGAGCTGAGATCACGCCACTGCACTCCAGCCTGGCGACAGAGTGAGACTCCGTCCAAAAGAAAAAAAAAAAAGGCCAACTGGAAAAATGGGAATCAACCAAATGTCTACCAAGAGGTGAATGGTTAAATTGAAATAAACTATAGCCAGCTGGGTGCCATGGTGCATGCCTGTAATCCCAGCACTTCGGGAGGCCGAGATGGGCTAATCACTTTAGGCCAAGAGTTTGAGACCAGCCTGGCCAACATGGCAAAATCCCATCTCTACCAAAAGTAAAAAAAAATTAGACGGGCGTGGTAGCACATGCCTGTGGTCCCAGCTACTTGGGAGGTTAAGGTGGGAGAATCACTTAAGCCCAGGAGGCAGAGGTTGCAGTGAGCCTAGATCACGCCACTGCCCTCCAGCATGAGTGAGAACGAAACCCTGTCTCAAAAATAAATAAATAAACAAACAAACAATGCCACATCCTATCCACACAATGGAATAAAAATGCAACCCTGGCCAGGCGTGGTGACTCACGCCTGTAATCCTAGCACTTTGAGAGGCTGAGGCAGGTGGACTGCCTAAGCTCAGGGGTTCGAGACCAGCCTGGGCAACACGGTGAAACCCTGTGTCTACTAAGATACAAAAAATTAGCCGGCGTGGCGGCGTGCGCCTGTAGTCCCAGCTACTTGGGAGGCTGAGGCAGAAGAATTACTTAAACCTGGGAAGTGGAGGTTGCACACTGAGCTGAGATCACACCACTGCACTCCAGCCTGGGCGACAGAACGAGACTCCGTCTCCAAAAAAAAAAATTATCATAATGCAACCCTAAATACAAGTGAGTCAGCTAGCTGCTAGCTGTGTCCAGTTATCTCTAAGATAAACTGATAAACTTAGCCAAATTCTAAGTGATCTGCCCACCTCAACCTCCCAAAGTGCTGAGATTACCGGTGTGAGCCAACACGCCAAACGGTATAGTGTGCTACCTTTTGTCAAGGGCAGGAGGTAGGGCAGAGTAAACATGATCTTATTTGTTTCTTTTGGCACAGAGAAACCTCAGAAAGTTACATTAAAAAACTAATAAAAGTAGTGGCTGGGCGTGGTGGGTCACGCCTGTAATCCCAGCACTTTAGGATGCTGAGGAGGGTGGATCACCTGGGGTTAGGAGTTCCAGACCAGCCTGGCCAACATAGTAAAACCCTGGCTCTACTGAAAATACAAAAAAATAGCTGAGTGTGGTGACGGGCGCCTGTAGTCCCAGCTACTCGGGAGGCTGAGGCAGGAGAATGGCGTAAACCCGGGAGGCGGAGCTTGCAGTGAGCCGAGATCATGCCACTGCACTCCAGCCTGGGTGACAGAGTGAGACTCCATCTCAAAAAGTGTTTTACACCAGGTAAATGTGTTTCCTATTTAAAAATTAAAGGAAAAGTAACGAGGCAGGAGAGTTTGGTTTGATCCTAGCAACTCAATGTGGTCCATGAACCGACAACATCGGTACCTCCTAGGATCTTACTAGAAATGCAGAATCCTGGCAGGGTGCTGTGGCTCACGCCTGTAATCCCAGTACTTTGGGAGGCCAAGGCGGGTGGATCATTTGAGATTAGGAGAACGAGACCAGCCTGGTCAAC